GGGGAGCAGAACAGGCAGATCGACGAAGTACACTGCTGAGAGGAGCAGCGGGCGGGGTCAGGAGAGGTCTGCTGTGCCATGTGGTCTCCTGGGGCAGGCGGGAATCGAACTCATTGCAAGCGGCTTTAGATTCTTAGTGCTGTGCTTTAACCCGCTGCGCCACCAGGGAGGGCCTATAGTCCGTTTTTATATAATCCTGTGTGAGTTTGGCTGTAGTCGTTTCGGTGTCTTTATTCTCCCCGGTTTTTGTTCATTTTTGTCTGACTCTTTTTTTTGTTTCTTTATATTCTACATATGGTTAAAGCCATTTGGTATTTTTCTTTGTGTTGATTTGTTTCATTGAACAAACACTTTACAGTTCTATCCATATTTTCAAAAACAAATGACAAGAATGTATCTTTATCTTGTTAATAGTTTAGTAGTATTTTATTGTACATGAAAACCATATCTTAATCCACTCTTCTGCTCTTGTTGTCATAACTAAGCTATTGGGAATAGTGTTGCAATGAACATTTTGTGAATGCATCCCTTCAAATCATGTATTACTATTATTTGTCTAGATAACCTAGGAATGGAATTGCTGGATCATATGGTAGATCTGTTTTTTAGTATTTAAAGAACTTCCATATTGTTTACAAGAGAAGTTGGACAATATTTCCACCCTCAGTGTATCTTGATTCCTTTTTTTTTTTAATTATTAAAAAGTTTATTTTTACATTATTTTGCACATTTTTTTTTCCATCTTAATTGTAATCCCCGCGGGTTTCCCATCACCAAATCGCCCCTGTGCTTGATTCCTTTTTCTCCATGTTCTGTCAACACTTTTTGTTTCTGGTCTTTTTGATACAGATTTTCTCACAAGCATGAGGTGGTATCACATTGTGATTTTGATTTGCATTTCCTTGATGATCAGTAATGATGGTAATCATTCATCACACATGATGGCCATCTGTATATCTTTGGATAATGTCTATTTAGCTCTTCTTTCCATTTTTTTTGTTGGGTTGTTTTCTTTTTGTTGAATTGTATGAGTTTTTAATCTTGTACATTAGCTCTTGTCAGATGTATGATGTGCAGATATTTTTTTCTCAGTCAGGTAGGTGTCTTCATTTTACTCTGTAGAAGCTTTTTACTCTGTAGAAGCTTTTTCACTCTGTAGAAGCTTTTTAGTTTGGTAAATCCTATTTGTTTATTTTGCTTTTGTTTTCCTTGCTGTTGGAAATAATTTCCCAAAGACATCACTGAAACCAGAGTTGTGAAATATTTTGCCTGTTTTCTTTATAATTTGTGATTTCAGGGCTTAAATTTATGTCATTAATCCATTTTGAACATTGGTAAATGATATGGTATAAGAGTTGTCTAGTTTAATTTTTCTGCAGTACCATTTGTTGAAGAGCCTTTTTATTCTATACTCTTGGCCCCTTTTTATGTTAATTGTCCCATTAAATATGGGTTTATTTGTTTGATCTCAATTCTTTTTACTGTTCTTTGCGTCTTTTACTCCCAATACCATACTTGTTTCATTACTATAGTCTCGTGGTTGGGGATCATCATACCTGTTTTCCTTTTGTCAAGATTGCTATACCTTTTTGTGGTCTTCTCAGTTTCTGTGTAAATTTTACTAATGTTTGTTTTCTTTTTTGAAAAATGTTATTGTGTTAAATTTAAATACTGCCTTTAGAAGAGTCATTTTGACTTGATTGTTTTACCTGTCCATGACCATGTATATTTTTGTTTGTGGGTTTTTTTTATTGTATTATCCTGCCTTTTTTTTTTTTTAAAGATTTATTTATTTGTACATACAGAACTGGGGTACAGGCCAGAGGCTCAGGGGTGGCGAGAGGTTTCACCAGAG